TTACAAATAGGGTAACATTGTGAGAAATGTAGATATGAAATGCCGGCATTTTTTTTTTATAAATTGCAATTACCCATTTTCATAAAATTCATGTTTTTATCATTGAATAAAACTAAGAGAAAATAAGTTAAATGAGTCGAAAGCATAACGCATCTCTAGTCTCTAGAGATAGAAACATCATTGGTTATCATTATTAAAGATCATTCGTTGTGTCAAACTTTTGTTTAAAGTAATTGCTTCCAAAAAATATTGGTCGGACAAAACATGCTGACACGCCAGCAAGATAGAATCTGTCATTATAAACAATAAATAAAAAACAAGAATGGAAGAAAATTAGTTGGACAGCTGAGTTGGGTGGCCGTGTGCTTGAGCTTGACATAGTCAGTGCCATCGGATAATGGCTGAACCCCCTGTAAGGTAGTGCTGGACTCGGGCCGGGCGGCCCGAACCGGAACCGGCCCGGCCCGGCCCGGTGGCCCGGTCCACCGGCGGTTCGGGTCGAACCGGCCCGGTGAATACCGGTTCCGGGCCCGGGCCCTCTATTTGGTAAACCGGCCCGGCTGGTTCGGGCCCGGTCTGGGCCGGAATATTTTTTTTTTAATTTTTTTTGAAATTTTTTTAATTTTTGGGTTGGATTAGGTATTTTGGGCCATTTGAGGTGGTTTGGGGTGGTTTGGGGTTGAGGGGGAGGGGTAGGGGGTTAAATAAGAGAAGCCAAAAAATCAAAAAAAAAAAATGTGGCGGGTGAACCGGCCCGGTCTGGCCCGGAACCGGTCACCTGCCGGTTCGGGCCCGGGCCCTCCTTTTGGTGAACCGAGGCCCGGCCGGTTCAAGGCCCGAACCGGGTCCGGCCCGAACCGAGTCCAGCACTACTGTAAGGCCAGCAGCAGCGACAATAACACATGATCACCCGCTTTAATCTTTCTGGCCTGAACAGCCTCATGCCCTCATGCAATGCCAATGAATAGAAGCAGCACTGGTGTTCCGCGTTCCCATAGTTTTCCAGGTCAGAGATGACTTTTACGGGGGGTGGGGGGGTGGAGTCCATACGAGACACTACCGCATCAATGATCCTTCGATTTGCTTGATGAATAAGCAACCAGTCAATACCGGAGAGGGTGAGACCGGCACAGGTCTTTGCCAAGGCAGCTTCAATTGATTGGGGGACGACATGGACCGCAAACTTGAAAACCTCTTTGCTGTTCATTTGGAGGCAGAGGAGTAATAGAACCCTCTTTTGTGTGGAAATGCATGAGACGGTGAATCGCCATTTGTTGTGCTCAATGAACTCTCCTTATTTACAGCTTTCCCTTCTCTTTTATTGAAGACCACAGGTCACAGGTGCCTAGCTACAGCAAGAGAGTATATTTTGATCATACACTATGGTCTGTGAACATTGTGTGTCACCGTCTCACGTAATTGTGGGGTGGCCATTCTGGGTTTGATCATACACTATGGAGTATGGACTAATAATCTAATACTCCATATTACTCTTCCTCTTGTAGGGGTGGACTCGGGCCTCGGTTCATGAAAGGGGAGGCCAGGAACCGGCCCGGGTAACCCCCGGGTCCGGTTCGGGCCAGACCGGGCCGGGCCGGGCCTCGGTTCAAATTAACCGCACACAACGGCGGAAGGGAGAAACCTGATTGACAATGTCCTCCAACCGTTTCTACTTAAACGTCCCGGCTCGACCAAAAAAGAAGAGCCCTTGGCCTCAACCTCAAACCCGATGATGTCTACACACTTGGACTGCCGCTCTTCGTCGAAGGAGACAAATCGGAGAAGCTCAAACCCTAAACGAAGGGAGACAACCGCTTTTGGTTGCGTACATTACGATTGCAATCCGCGGATCTCAAGTTTTAATATTCCATATAGGTGTATAAAACAATATACACCGGATCGGATCGCAACCGATCTAGCACAGTATCGAAACATCATACAAGTATTTTTTTCAATGAAGTATTGAGTATCAAAACATCATACAAGTTTTTTATTAGACAATGGTTATCTTAGACTTTTAATAATAAAAATACTCCGTACGTGATTGTTTCTCAAGAATTTAAAGATCCATCCAAATTTGTTCAGTGCCAATCATGAAAACCCCACCCGACTCTCTCAGGCCTAACCGCTGGGAACCCCTGAACCACAACAATTAACCCCACACGGCCAAAAAACAACCACTCCATCCATACATACTCATAACATGATTTCTTTTTTCGACCTCCAAAATCAAATGTCTACTTGTTCAAATCTTGGCCAACTAATTTTTATGAGGCCAGGCCTCCTATTCTCAATTACTCTCTCCCCTTCCTTGAACTTCACTAATTTTAATTGGTAATGCTCAGAAAATAAAAGGTGTGTAGCTAAGGTTTATGTCAACTGTCAAGAATAGAGAAGTACGTAATATTAATAATAAACTAAATTTTCAAAAAGTGGGGTTAATTTTTATGCTATGCTTCTTAATAAAAAAAGATGAAAAAGTTTAATGAGATGGATGCACTCATGTACTGATGCACTATAGCCTATAGGAACAATAGAGAGGAAAATCAGGAAACTAAGAAGAATTTTAGAGTAAAACATGGATTAAAATAAAACAAGAAATCGAATTGTCACTTGATCGAATTATATTACTAAACAAGAAGGGCTTCCTAGAAACCGATCTGCAATGGTGCAGAGATAGAAGGATAGGATTTAAATTGATATATGTAGCACATAATATAAGGATTTGTGTTAAAGTCTCAGAGCAACCACTATATTAAGACCTGAGTTACTCCTCATATTAGGTTAACCATTTAGGATGCAATCACGTACCTTAACAATACAATTTGTAACGTAGTAACGTAACGTACCCTCCCGTCCCCTTCCCAACCAAGAAGGCATCAATGCATCATTTCATATGATATCATGTTTGCCACGTCAAATCAAAATTAATAAATTTCAATTAGTGATGCGTAGAAAATAGATACCTTTATTTTGGTAACAAATGCCAAATTTTCTTGATCGAATATACGGAGTATAGAAAGATTAATGAAAGTTTTGTTACCTGTAATTACTCGTATACAGTGGAGGACCTAGGGGGGGCTAGGTGGGGCAAGTGCCCCAGCTTCGGGCCCGGAATTTCACTAGTAGTACTTAAGGTAAAAACCAGTGCCCCCGCTTTGGACCCGAAATTTCACTAGTACCACTTGATGTAAAACTAGTGCCTCCGCTTCATACCGATATTTGATAATTAAGATGCTAAAATGTTACAGTTATAACAATAATAAAAAATTAATACAGAGTACAAAATATTAAAATTTTAGCTGTAATAAAATAAAAGATATAAATTATCAAAATACAAAAAAAGAATACTGAAGGGTTGAAAACAAAAAAGTAACACAAAAAAGTTAAAAGTGCACAAAAGTAGCCAAACGTGCGGGTAAGCAAAACAATTAAAAATCTAAAAACAAAACCCACAAAGACTAGAAAGAAAATAGCGGAAGTTCTCTGGATCGCTGCTTTGGCTTTGGGGTTTTGACGTCTTGCTCAATTGACACTGCACCGCGCCACCGCCACACCCCTAAATCTTCCCATACTTCCTGGTTCTGTAAGTTTACTTCAAATTTATTCCGCATCTCCGACACCCGATTTCCGTCAATTGCAGATTTGCAGAGTGACGGTTGCCGCAGGGGATTACTTTAAAAATTGAGATTGTCAATAATCAAGAATATTGAGGATTGTTCATTTGTTTGTTTACTTGAAAGTTGATAGTTTGAATTTGTGATTGCACTCTAATTACGGATTAGGGTTCTAATTTGTAAGGATTTTTTTCTTTTAATTTAGTGAAATAATTAGGATGTAGAAATTGATTTAATTAGATTTCATTGTATTTGTCTTTTTTGTTAGGAAAATGAGTTTGGATAAGTTTGTAATTCGGAGTAAGAGGTCTTTAACTCCAGGAGATTGTTCTTCGAATGTCCCTAATCAGTCTGTCTCAAGTAATGCAATTGTTGTTGCTTCGAATGTAAGAACTGTTCGAGATGAATCTAATGACATTAGGGGAGACAAAACAGCCCGCAAAGATAGTACGTGTGAGTGGGATATCATTAGCGATCCTGGATTACGAAAGCCAATCAATGAATATGAGCCTCGAGTAAGAGATGATGTGATGAGAGCATATGTTGTTAAAGGTGCTTGTCAACCGTTGTCTCATAAGTTTCCAAAAACTTTATTTGGGAAAAAAATGAGACGTTTTCGAGCAGAGTGGTATAAAAATTGGGAATGGTTAGAGTATAGTGTTTCTAAAGATGCTGCATTTTGCTTTTGGTGTTACCTTTTCCATGAGGTAGAAGGGAGGAGATTTGGAGATGATGTATTTGTGAGGACCGGATTTCGTAATTGGAAGAAAAGTCTCGCAAGTTTTCGAGATCATGTAGGAATTGTAAAAAGTGCCCACAATAATGCCAGAATAAAATTTTTTGCTTTCAGGAATCAAAAGCAAAGCCTTCCAAGATGTGTGGCTTCAGGAATACAAACATTGGGTGCAGCATACCGCACCCGTTTGAATGCAAGTGTGGATTGTGCTAGATTTTTAATTGCACAAGGGCTGGCTTTTCGTGGACATGATGAGAGAGAAACTTCATTGAATAAAGGTAATTTCTTGGAATTACTTGATTGGTATAGTGCACGCAATGTTGAAGTTTCAAAGGTTGTGAAAGATAATGCACCATCAAATCACCAACTTACTTGTCCTAAGATTCAAAAGGATATTATTAGTTCTTGTGCATCAGAGACATTAAAAGTCATAATTAGTGATATTGGTGACAAATTCTTTTCTTTGTTGATTGATGAAGCTCGTGATAATTCTGTGAAAGAGCAAATGGCAATTGTTGTGAGATATGTAAATGATAACGGAGTTGTTATAGAGCGATTCCTTGGAGTTAAACATGTTGTTGACACTACTGCACTTTCATTGAAAAGCGGCATTGATGAATTTTTTGCTAAGCATGGATTATCTTTGTCCAAAATTAGAGGTCAAGGATATGATGGAGCTTCTAATATGCGAGGTGAACTTAGTGGATTGAAGACTCTTATTTTGAATGAAAATCCACATGCAAGATATATTCATTGTTTTGCTCACCAATTGCAATTAGTTATTGTGGCTGTTGCACAAAGCAATAAGTTTGTGAGTGACTTTTTTGAATATTTGTCCATGATTACTAACATGGTAGGATCTTCTTGTAAAAGAAAGGATGAGTTTCGGCAAATGCAACATGAAGCCATGGTAGAGATGTTAGAAAAGGGTGAGCTTACAACTGGGAGAGGATTGAATCAAGAAAGTAGTTTAGCTAGGCCGGGAGCTACACGCTGGGGTTCACATCATACAACCATTATCCGTATTCTTTCTATGTGGTCTCCTACTATTCAAGTTTTGGACAATATATTTGATGATGGAACTGATCTAAAATCGAGAGGCTCTGCTAGTAGTTTGGTAGATAAGATGGAGAGTTATCAGTTTGTTTTTATTGCTCAGTTGATGAAAAAAATATTGGGATTGACGAATATATTGTCACATTTCTTGCAACAAAAAGATCAAAATATTCTGGAGGCTGTGAGCTTAGTTAAAAGCACTAAAGCTAAATTTCAAGACTTGAGAGAAAGTGGATGGGATGGTCTCTTGGAAGATGTCAGTAGCTTTTGTGTCAAGAACAAAATTGACATTCTTAACATGGAAGAGACGAATCATCGTTCTAGACGTGTTCGTCACCCGGTAACAAATTATCACCACTTTCGTGTTGATATATTTTGCCAGGTACTTTAAAATATAATAAAAATTATTATTATTATTATTATTATTATTATTATTATTATTATTATTATTATTATTATTATTATTATTATTATTATTATTATTATTATTATTATTATTATTATTATTATTATTATTATTATTATTATTATTATTATTATTATTATTATTATTATTATTATTATTATTATTATTATTATTATTATTATTATTATTATTATTATTATTATTATTATTATTATTATTATTATTATTATTATTATTATTATTATTATTATACTTATTTTTGTTTTAATTATTATTGTTACTATTGTTTTCATTGTAGGTTATTGACCAGATCAGTCTTGAGATGGAGAATCGCTTTAGTGAGTCAAACACAGAATTACTCACTTGCTTAGCATGTCTTGATCCTAGAGATAAGTTCTCCAATTTCTGTGAGTCAAAGCTACTGAACCTTGCAGAGTTATATTCATGTGATTTTTCATCTGTTGACCGAATGGAGCTGAAAGAGCAACTCCAAGTGTGGATATATGAAATGAGAACAAATGAATTATTTTCTGACATACAAACTATTGGTGAAGTTTGTAAGAAGATGGTTGAACTTAAAGTTCACAATTCATTTCACTTGATATATCGTCTGATTGAGTTGGCTTTAGTATTACCAGTTGCAACAGCCACCGTTGAAAGGGCCTTCTCTGCGATGAATATTATCAAGACAGATCTTCGCAATAAGATGGGAGATGACTATCTTACGGATTGTTTGGTGTGCTACATAGAGAGAGATGCTTTTAGAAGCATTGATAATGAAACTATTATGCAACACTTTCAGAATATGAAAACTCGTAGGCTTGATTTACCAAAGTTGCAGTCGTGAACTATTTAATATGTAATGAACTATTCCGTATAATTTAATACTTTATTTACCAGTTTTATTACATTTGAAGTTTTTGTTATAGACTAAGTTTATTGTCTAGTGTGCCCCTGCTCTCACAAATCTCTGGGTCCGCCACTGCTCGTATACACCTACCTTGTGGGAAAGAAACAAAGAAAATTTTCAACAATGAAATAATATATACTCAATAAAACAGTAGAGGTCAATCTACACTTAGAAATAAATTTTGATAGTGCACAATGGCGGAGACAGAATGGTTCAAATTTTATATTTTATAATGTGTGCAGTTGAAGTAATTTGATGTGATTTGAATTTATATTAACAGAAATTACCCTAAATAGGAGTAAAAATGTTTTCAAATTTCAAAATAGAACTATCATAGTTTTTATTCCCTGGATAGGAGTAATCTGTCAAGTTTGGAAAAAATGTCATGTTTAAAACCTAATAATGCCAAACTTGGCAGAAATTTACTCTTTAGGGAATAAAAAAAAATAATCTTATTTTGAAATTTCAAAACGTTTTTACTCATATTTAGGGAATTCTCTCTCATATTAATTACTTTCTATAACTTCACATACTAGTTCTTTACTATTGAAAAAGATAGAAATGTGGAATTATTATATGAAATGATATTCTTGTATAGATCGATCTTTTACAATAAAAGAATTTTGAACACTCGAACAATCCGTAATGTATGTAACGCTGATGACGCACTTGCACATTTTCACAAGTACTACGTATAAATTATTCTTCCTCCATTAAAAAAATTGAGTGAATTCCCTAAATAGGATTAAAAAGTGGAAAAATTGCACAAATAGGACTACATTTTTTAAATTCCCTTAATAGGACTATTTATGTGTGTTTGGACAAATATACCCTTGTAACTTGTGAAATGTTTTAATTAATAATAAAATCATAAAAAAATTAATAAAAATCGAAAAAAAAACTAAAAATCGTAAAATAAATAATAGAAAATTAATAAAAATATTTTTTTAAAAAAATAAAAAAAATATTTTTTTTTAAAAAAATAAAAAATAAATAAATAAAATCATAAAATTAAAAAAAACACATTACCACCCCTGCCACCCCCAACACCACCATCTCCCATCACCGGACAAAAATATGCCAACATTTTAAATAATGCCATAATGATGGCATAATCAATGAAAATGTTGGCATATTGAAGAGTAATTATGCCATCTTTTTGGCATTTTCAGAAAAATATGGCATTTTTTTACCAAAAGTGGAAGAAATTTCACCAATCGGAGGTGGTGGTGCTGGGAGGCGGCGGGAGGCGGTGAGAAAGGTATCCATAATTTTTTTCATTTTTTATGGGTTTTTACTATTTTGTATTATTTTTTATAAAAAATTAAAAAAATAAAAAATTAAATTTTTTATTTTATAAATGTTTTATAATTTTTTTTAATTTTTTTACGTTTTTTAAATATTTTTTTATGTTTTTTGTGATTTTATTATGAATTAAAGCATTTCATTATGAATTAATACTCTTAGGGGTATTTAGGGTAGAAAATCAATGTTTAGTCCTATTTAGGGAATTTTAAAAATAGTAGTCCTATTTGTTCTTTTTAGGAACTTTTTAGTCCTATTTAGGACAATTTCCGTAAAAAAATTTCCCACTTTATATTATGATCGAGGTGTCTAGAATGATGATTATATTCCTTTTACAGTAACAATACTTACACCATTTCACTTTTTAAATATGTATGTGTATACAAAATTGGGAAGTAAGTGGCGAAGTAACTTTTGATTTCAAAAGCTACTTTGTACTTCTGGCTGAAGTTATTGTAGATGATTCTATCAAATGTTTTCCATACAGTTCATTTCTTTATTTTTTTATTAAAATTTATTTTGAATATAATTTTTCTATAATTATGCATTTATGCATCAACTCATCCAGTCGGTTCGGATCAGCTACAACTTCATCAATTTCAATACATTCAAGTGATTTCAGTACTGCCAAACACGTTCTTAGTTATTATGACTGCATTCAAAATCAGTACAATATAATGTTGAGCCATAGTAGCTTAAAGTTATTATCATGGCCTTTATTTCATACAAACAAATTACGTAGTACAGGTATGTTTTTGTATGTTATTTGTACATAGTTTTATATTAGTCTGTACTTTCCTTCACAATCACCTAATCTATTTTTAGTATCTATTTTTCCTAAAATATTACTAAAATAAAATTCATAGACTAAACTCACTAAAGTGCACTAGAAGAATATCAATTTACTTTTATGATCACTATGAACAAAATTAAACATAGTGAAAACTTCTTTTTTTTTTTTTTTGAAAAAGTAGCTTATATTGATATAACAAAATTCAGACAAGAAACATGAAGATAAAAATCAAATCCTAACCGTCAGCCCTTGAACAAAACTTAGAGCCAGTAACTTTCGAGAAAGCAATATGACTCGCTAATCATAGAATGAGCATAACCGAGTCAAAGACGGTCAAAATAGACCTTTCATCACTCAATCCAAAATCAAGAGTCTGACATAATGAAAAACAAAACACAATAACAAGAACAAACTGACCAAAGCAAAAAAGCAAAATTAAAACAAAATATAGTTACTCGAATTCAACTGCTCTCCCAGAACCACGAGAGGTTTCAGTTGACCCTCTGTGGCGTAAAACTTACTCAGAAATCCCGACGGGTCTGGTACCCATCACCCGTCTCCTCTCCGCTTTTTGGCTCGTCGAGAGCCATGCCATCGCCACTTGGGTCACCTGACATATCCTTTCTAGGATCCATCACTGTAATCATCCAATCTTGTCTCCCCACATCCGCCTGTCTAGTCAGCCCTTCCTCCCTATCCTGCTTGTGTCATTGCTGCTTTTTACACATACCTGCCGATGAAGACGAGGTTTCCTGCCGGCCCCCTGCTCGAAGCCAAACTCTAAAAGATTTCTCTAGCGCTTTATCCCCTCTCTCATACACCAAAGGGCAGAAACTATCTACATGGCCAATAACTCCACACACAAAGCAAAAGTTTGGCAATTTCTCATATTTAAAATCCACCCAATATCCAATTTCCTTCCCTTTCCTAAGAGTTGTTCCAGTCTTTAGAGGTTTGCCTACATTCATCCAGACTCTAATCCTGATATAAGCATCCCATGTTCCCTCAAACAAATTTTCATCAAAACTGAAAGACTTTGCCAATAAAATTACCAACCCTTTTAGCGACCTCTAAGGTCATAAATTCATGACATATTATGCGCTTGAACTCAGAATTCCACCACACTCAGATAAACCTTTAAAGTTATATCCCCCAAATTAATAGCCCTACGAACCTACAGATTTTGTTCAAACAATCACGAGCCATTCTCCAAGACACGTTACAAATCTTTTATATGATAAAAAGTGAATAAATACATTTTATCCCCGAGTTCTTTAATCGAGACTCCTTTTCCTGGGCGCCGTATTGAGGCCTTAAGCTCTCTGAAAATCTGGAATTTCTCCATTTTGTTAGATATGATTGTGTCTACAATCGAAAAAAACTCCCTCTCGCTACCCGACCTCTTCCTCAAAGATCAGTTCTTCCTCATCCCCTCCAATATCCAACTTGTCATATTGATTGACAATGGATTCCACAATACCTGATTGTCGAGTAAGTAGTTGCACCGAGAGTTGAACGAGATAATCCAGAGCCTACGTGAGGCCGATACCTTCGCCGCACTCGCCTAGAACGCCTGGCAGAAATTAAATCGGAACTTGTGGGAAGGACACAATAGTGAAAACTTATAATCACTTAAAGTTTGTAAGTCGTTTGTTTATTAACGGGAATAGTGACATAACTAGAACATAGTTTAAGGGGAGCACGATCACATGAATGGGAACTGTCTGGCGAGCTGGCCTTGAGAGCCCAAACGGCTTGCGGTCCATTGTGGCAGTGTGGCTTAATTTGCATACATTCTTTATTTTATTAATAAAAAATATTTTAGAAATAAATTTTCCACAGTTCAACAATTTCAACACATTCAACTGCTTCAGTGGGAACCTCTTCAATTTCAGTTAATTCAATCAATTTCAATGTCACTAAAGTGACTCGAATCTCAATTGAAATTAAATTCAAAATATGTGACGTACAATTTGGAAGGTAATCCGGATTCTATCGGTATCACAATTAAAAAAATCTACTCCCTCCGTCCCTAAATAAATTTCCAACTTTCCTTTTTGGTCCGTCCCAATTAAAACTTCCACTTTCCTTTTTTGGTAAAGAATTTGTGATTCACAACATTTCTTACACATTTCTCTCTTCCGCATAACTTTTCATCACACAATACCCACTATCTTAAACTGTGTGCCTAATCCATTTGAAAGTTTTATTAGGGACGAAGATAGTAATTGAAAATATAAAATTTATTACTCCGTACTAAAAAGGAAAAACAAACACACACCATGTCATATCATTATTAAACTCACTTACTCCTCCTTTCTTTTGCTGACTTGCTCTCAAGTCTCGTTGTCTTCGTCCCAGTTTTCGGATCTCCATGCCCATCTGTCCCCCCTCTCCTCTGGCCGTATGCAAATTCTCTCCCTGGGTTCTTCAAATTTCAGCGTCTTAAATAGAAAGGTACAATTCCAAAGTGCCACTCAATCTTATCCTATTTACATTTCTTCTTTACTTTCCCCTCTCGTTTCTTCACTTATTGTTTGTGATTCAGCGAAAGATTGGGTATTTATTTCATCACTGTCTAAGATTTGCATTAGGGTTCTAGGCGCATTTCTTTTTGAAATCGAATGCTAGTCCACTGTTCGGATTCATAAATCATAATTTACTTTAGTTGAGAGTCTTATATTCTGTTTTTTCCCTTTTTCTTTATGGTTTGTTCCAGTTTCCGAATCTCGATCCTCTTCCGATTCCTTTTTTCTTATTCGTAGATATCTTTGAATCTGTTAAAGTACATAATTTGTGGTGCGGTTGGAATCTCGATTCTCACACAATCTTTAATGAGAAGCAATAAAAATCCAAGCTTTAGTTTTTCTTGATCAAGGAAGAGATAGAATAGAGTTCATTATTGGGTCGTGATAAATCTGTTCAGTACTCTAACCTAATTGCTTGTAAACTCATTTTCCTTCATTTGCCTTCTAGAAGGGTGAAAAGTGAGGAGTAAGAATGTCAAGCGACAGATGCAGCCATTGGTGCTATAGCTGCAGACAGCCAGTAAACCTTACAAGACAAAATGTGACTTGCCCGAACTGCCATGGAGGGTTTGTGCAAGATCTTGATGAGGTTACTGCCACTGAAACCGAATATGATGGCGAGGATAACTACCACCAACGGCAGTCGAGGTTCATGGAAGCCATCTCCAGCTTCTTGAGGCGGCAAATGTCATCATCAAGAACAGATAGGCGTCAGCCTGAACCAAGTAACCCTTCTTGGAACCCATTGCTGATTTTTAGCGGCGACGTGCCAGCTGGAGGCAATAGCGGTGGAGGAGGAGGGATGACAGAGTTTCTGAACGAGGCTCTCGGATTCAGAAGAGAACATGGAGGAGGTGATTATTTCATTGGTCCTGGTGTGGAAGAGTTCTTTGATGATATAATCAGCAGCAATAACAACCGATCGGTCCCTCAAGCGGCTTCAAGATCTTCAATTGAGTCCCTTCCTAAGGTCAATATATCAAGAAAGCATGTCCGGTCTGATCTTCATTGCCCAGTCTGTAAAGATAAGTTCGAAATGGGGACCGAAGTGAGAAAACTTCCTTGTGATCATTTGTATCACGCGGATTGTATCATTCCGTGGCTCCAACAACGCAATTCCTGCCCGGTTTGTCGCCGAGAGATGGAACCGGAGAGATTGGGTGATCACTGCGATGACCTTAGTGACTCCCGGAGTCAAAGTCGAACCAACTCAATGAGACTTTTTGAGAGGAGAAGGGAGAGGGGGAGGAGAATGTGGTCTTTCTTGTGGCCCTTCAGGTCTTCTCGTTCTCGCCGCCGTGGTGGAGTTCCTGAAACCAACATAGAGGCCACCAACCTGCAGTATAGTCATCATCACCATCATGTTAGTGAGTACTCTAGCTGGCCATTTGAATAGAAGATTAGAAGTTAATCCTCTGTTTAGTCCATGTGACTATCCACTGTTAATCTATTTGGTCTCCCTATATGCAATTTTATTATAATGTATTTGGTTCTAAATAAAAGAATATTTTGTCAATTCACTATATTTGGTGTGTCTTCAATCATGTACATTGGATCAGTAGTGGATGAAGATACCATCCAAAATGACAGTAAAATTTAGCCAAGGGCTAAATTAAGTCTCTATTGTAGTCAAGAACCAAATTAAGAGATTTGAGTCTAAAAAGAAAGTTGTGGACAAGACTGAGTAATATAATCTGTATCAAAATATATAGTCAAGTGACTAAACTGGTATTAACTACTCCGTATATGAATAACTAGCAAGGCTAGTTGGTGGTGGGCATGGGGCATTCTTGGACATAATATATATTTTTGTTATGTTGTGATAATAATTGGTGTGTACCTCCCTGTCCAAACTCTAGTGTTCCCACCATCCATGTTGTTTCTTTTTTTGCCTTTCATTTATCAAATGAATATGTTATCTTTGGTTGTTAAGTAAGGGCTAGTTTGTTTTGGGGATTTCAGGAAAGGATTAGTCTTTTTTGTTTTATTGATTTGTTTTTATTTGTTAGTCTTAGACTAGAGAATTAACTATATGATTAGTTAAATAATGTAGTTGTATACTTTTTGTCCGGATTTTATTTCCACACATTGATAAGAACAGAAAAATAAAAATCAACGGGGTAAACCGTTGCCCAGATAATCAACGATAAATAAATACCGTTGCCCAGAGCCAAAAGGCTAAACCAACTTTTATTCCAAGATAATAAGAATGAACCCTGGCGAGGGGTATAAATAGCCTTCTACAAGCAACCCTAATCAATTCCAAATTAATTAAATCCTAATTAGGCCCATACTAACTCTACTAAGTACTCTACCAATAATAGGCCCAAAACAAAACATAACATTAATTTAAAAATAATAAATAACTATAAGGACAGCCCGTGATTGGCCAACGGAAGTGGGCCCAAGCCCGGTCCCGCCCCAACCTCTTCCCGCTTCATATCAATCCACCCCCCTTAAAATAATCTTGTCCTCAAGGTTGAAAACTCGCGGATCAGGGACTGAAATTTCCAGACATGGTATAGACTGGAAAAATCCTTCTCTTTCCGGAACCCTTTCCTGGCCGGTTATTTCACAGAATTCATGCTGCTTGAGGTCCAACTCTTCATCCTCCTCAACTATCATTACCCGCAGCTACTTAAAGGGACAATCATGCGTTGGTGTAAATGGTTTTTTGCACCTAAAGCATAATCCTTTCGCCCGCAGTTCTACAAACTCTTTCGGCGGAAGTCGAGTGAACTGAGAGCGTGTCGTAGGCTGTCCAGACAGCCCTGACTTCGTCCCCGGAGGCTGTCCACTATCTTTCGCAAAACTGCCCTCTGAACCCTGTAAGCTGCCACCAATGGCGGTCAACGGGGAACTTGTGTTTGCCCTTAAAAGGCTGCTAGAACGTACCCCTGACGAATGATAATTCAGGCCGCCACTTTCTCCACTTTGGACGGACAACTTATGCTCCACGTCGCGAGCTAATTCCATAGCCATCTCCAGGTTGTTTGGTCAAAGTAATCGCAGCGAGCTTCGGATTGTTTCCTTAACTCATATAATATCCCAAATAGTGTTCATCGGACAAACCCAAGACTTGTCTTGCCAACTGGACAAAAAGAATGTTATAATCCTCCACAGTTCCAGATTGCTTGACTCCAGACAGTCGTTCAAACCGGTTTCCCTGGTATCGGGAATCAAATCTGACCACCAGGGCTTGTTTGAAATCTTCCCAGCCTATACCGGGTTTGCGTGATCTCAGCCAGGTTACCCAGTAAAGTGCTCCACCTTCCATGGCCACCACAATGGCAGCCACCTTCTTCTCCGGTAGGGTTTCGTGTAGTTCAAACTGTTGCTCCACCCGAGCGATCCACCCTATCTGGTCTCCCCCATCGAACGCCGGACCCATCGATCCACCCGATCGGGTCTCCACCCAAGCGATCCACCCGATCGGGTTTCCCCCATCGAACTGCCGCCGCATCTGGAGTCGGCAGTGTAGTTAGGGTTTAGGGTTTAGGGTTGCGCAGCACCCTGTCGAGGTGCGGCACTGTCATCGCGGCACTGCCGACTCCAGATGCGGCGGCGGCCGGCAAAACAGCGGCGGCCGGCGAAACAGCGGCGGCAGCCGGCGAAACGACGGCGACGTCCGGCGAAACAGCGGTGGCGTCCGGCGAATAATGCCTTCGTCAACGCGGCCAGCGAGGCAACGATCTCTGCTAGCTTCGCTCTGTGGTCCTCAAGCGTCTGGTTCATCCGGGTTTGCTCAGCCCCTAGTCGAGCCACCTCCTCTCTCGTTCGGCCTTGTTCGTTCTCCAATTCCGTCAATCGATCACTCTAAGATCTTGTCATCTTGGCGGGACGGGATCTGGCAGGTCGGACCAATTGATAAGAACAGAAAAATAAAAATCAACGGGGTGAACCGTTGCCCAGATAATCAACGATAAATAAATACCGTTGCCCAGAGTCAAAAGGCTAAACTAAATTTTATTCCAAGATAATAAGAATGAACCCTGGCGAGGGGTATAAATAGCATTCTACAAGCAACCCTAATCAAGCCCAAATTAATTAAATCCTAATTAGGCCCATACTAACTCTACTAAGTACTCTACTAATAATAGGCCCAAAACAAAACAAAACATTAATTTTTAAATTATAAATAACTATAAGGACAGCCCGTGACTGGCCCACGGAAGTGGGCCCAAGCCCGGTCCCGCCCCATGCTCTTCCCGCTTCATATCACACATCTAAATGTAAGGATATTTCATAAACTCAATATTATCCATTTATCCGACAGTGGCAGAGTCAAGAATAATTTATTAGGGGGTAGGAGCTTAAAAATTTCACATTGCGGGGGCAGAAGCTTCTTATTAAAACACATTTTTTATAAGTTTATATATATACATGTTGTGTTCATATAAATAAACTACAAATTTTATTGTGAAGGGCTGAGGCCCCTCCAGCCCCACCCTTCCACACTAATTACCCTTGCTTTTCCTTTCAACCCAAAATCTCAAAACCATTCAAGCCGTAATGCAGGGACCCTTTCTGGTAAATATTTACTGGGCGGTTCTTAGCTTGTTCAATCTTATAAGCTAAATATGATGTTTAGTAATTATTTTATGGGAAAAGGGGCAAAAAACCCCTTATAGTTGTCACTAAAGGATATTCAAGCCCATAAACTTAATTTTAGTGCAAAAATCATTCTATTTCATTAGAAGAGGGCAATTCCCCCTCATCAAACGGAAAATACATAATTAGATAGCACCATGTGCTATTTGAGTTAAAGCTTTGAAATACCTGGGATTGTCACTATAGCACATCCAAAATGGGGAATTGAGTCTTAATAAACATGTGGTAAATTTACTACTAAAATGTCGAATTATAGAGTGATGTTGATCTGTTTTATTTATTCATACATTTGTTCTACTTAAAGGTTCTCGCCGACTATTTTCCAGTCAATATAAATTGTTTTTAATCTTTTACTTTATATATAACCTTTAGTCCGGTTAAACTATTTTTTCTATCTTCTATCTGTAAGAATGTGTTTACTTGGACTGTAATATGTCCCAGACCAAACTTTGATAAGTTATAAAAATACAAAGAGATAAGACATTATCAGACTAGTTCAGACTAGATCAGAGCAGACCAGACCAGTAAATTACAGTCCAAGTAAAAACATCCTAAAGGACAAACAAAATTATTGTATGATACTCCGTATATAAGATAAAATAGTTTTGTGCACTTTTAATTCTTAAAAAAATACGGATTATTATTCAAAAAAATATTGGGATTAAAAATGTATGATACGTCAAGAAGATATATTGTACAATAGCTTGGAAGAAATTTTATTTTTCATAGTAACTTATTAAATTAATTATATACAAATTATAATATATAAATAATATAATAAAATTCAAAACCAAACCAGATTATGATCGATTGTTTTTATTTGGACTGAAATTTTCTAGTCTGGTCTGAACTGGTGTAAGCTTTTTTGTCTTGTCCGATAGATGTCGGTCCCTGTGTATTTTATAAATGTTGAGGTCTCGTCTCGTCTGTTTATTTCTGTTCAAGTCATATCTGATTTGGTATGCGACTAAAATATTCCAAGTAAAAACTCTTAAAACAAATCAAACCGGTCCAGATTAAAACCGATTAGACCAAATTACACTAGGTCATACATTTTCAATTCAATTAGAAAAATCATACTTCCTCCGTCCTGAAAAGGTTGGCTAAAGTTGACTTTCACGTGGATTAATAAAGTAAAAAATGTGTGGTTGAAATTTGTACATAGGAGAGAGAATTAACTTTAACCACATATTCATTACTTTAAATGGAAATGACCAATCTTTTTGGGACATCTAAAAAAGGAAATTTGGCCAACCTTTTCAGGACGGAGGGAGTAATTTCTATAATTTGACATTAGAGCCCGTTTGGTAACCATACTTTTCAGCTTATCAGGCTTATTAACCAGTTTTCACCAAACACGTAATTTAGATTCCGTGCGTAAATGGTGTAATAATAAGAAAAAGTAAGTTTAAAGTTACTTTTCTTACTGTATTGGTTGAGGTGATTGCAGAAGATAGTTTAAAGTATTTTTACATGTAACTTTTTCTTTATTTTATTAATAAAATATAATTTAAATATAATTTTTTCATAAATCAACATAATCAACCAAGTCAGCCACATCAGACAGAATTTCATAAATTTTAGCAGAATCAACCGATTCAGTTTTTTTAGACCAACCGATTAAGTCAATTTTGATTTAACCAAAATAGCACTTAGTTAGTTAATTTGCCAAATGTTTTTTTTAAGACAATTGCCCAAAAATTTATAAGCTTGGGGATGTGCTTTAAGCAGTGTTTGCAGTTGCTTCAAAAAAGCGCTTTTCAGCTTTTGGCTTAAAAAAAGCTAAAAAGAGTGTTTTCAAATGACAACTTCTGTTTAAATTAATCACTTAAAAGCTAAAAGCTGGAAGCAGGTGGAAGGGTGCTTTAAACTGCTTTTCACTTTTTCTATTACACAAAAAGTACTTATTTTACCAAACATTACCAACTTTTACTTTTTGAGAATCACTTTTTTCTCAAACATTACCAACTTTTAATATTAATCACTTTCCCCAAAATCACTTTAAAAAATCACTTTTTTAAAGTTGAAGCAATTGCAAACACTCCTTAATGAAAATCCTAGAGTGGATTATGTTTGCCGTCACATTCTCCGTCAGCTACTCCGCATGTCACATTCTCCGTTAGCTACTCCGCATATCAATCGTAAGAGTTGTTTTTTTTTTTTTTTTTTTTTTTTTTTTGCGTTAGAGAAGGGGTAATTTGCCCCCTTGAAGTGGAACAGAGAGATATTTGCCCCAAAATTTAGTTTATGGGCAT